TACATCTACCCTATGATAATTGGTGTGCAATAAATGCCTCATTTAAATGTTAGTCAAACCGTTTGTACGGGTATTTTATAATGAAATACAAATTATGTTTTATTAGACATGAAATTTATTGCCGGTTGAATGTGTTCTGTATATCCTTTACATATAATTCTGTATAAGAATTAACGAATGAATTAACAAAGAATCTGGTTTTGATGTCTAACTTGTATTTCATATAATTTAGTAACAAAAATGCAACATTTTATACAGAATTGTTATTCAAAACAAAAATGTAATTTATTATTACTGAATATATTTACAATTGAAACATTAAGGTTAATATGTACAAATATTAATTGAAGTCTTTGAGAAGACTTTGAGCAGTCTACAAGCAAAATTAAATATTTCATTAAATATTATTAAAATGAATGTTTTCTAAAAGTAATAATTATTATTAAAAGTTTTAATAACTTTTGAATATAATTAACGCCAATGGATGCAATATATTTAGATATTTGTCTTAAATTGCAAAATTCTATACGAATTTACATTTATTAATATATAAATAACTATTTTATATTTATTTCACTTAATTAGCCGAACATTTTATGCCAGTTTTCATTATTAAAAATTTAATTATCTACAGTAGTAATAAGAAATATGATTAAATTTCAATTTTTTGTATTTAAATTCTATCTAATCGTTGTACTTCTAATATAGATTTGTTAAAGTTATATGTTTTCTCATTCCATTAAGCCTAATTCTTAAAATTTTAAAAGTTTCAATTATTATATGAAAAACTCTGCATAAATATAGTCGATTACGAAACAAATAATTACTAATAAAATTGCTTATTAGATATCCAATACTGTATGCAAAATGATGGGCAAACCATACGGTCACCAATAATTGTGTAATAGCAAAGTCCGTCACAACCCGTGTGCAAATTACCACATTATAGTACAGCACATGTAATAACGCGGCAAAAAATATGCATAAATTGTATTTCACAAGAATATTCAATTAATTTGTCGACTCGTCCAATAAAACGGTTGACACGTCTATACATGTCTATAGTATGCATACAATCCGTTAAATGATTAGAAAAATTGCATAAATGTGTTGATTGTGTTGAGGGGTTGAACGGAATGCACTAATCGTGTGCTACAAATACGCGGATAATGTGTTCTCTGATTAAACTCCTATTTTTCCCATTGATTTGGCACTGAATCCAAAACCATAACGATAAGAGTGTTCACTGCAGGACAATATTGAAAACAATTTCATATTTATAGTATCTGTAAATATACTGAAATATCTGAGATCTCAAGCATTTTGTTGAACATAAAAACAAATTTATCGATAAGAATATGTGATATTCAAAATACCTTGAATTTCCACACTTATAATAATATACTCAAATTTAGTACAAAATATAAGTTTTAATTAAATGGCATAAAAATATTACAAATCAAAAACACTATTCTAAAACGATTCAAATATTTTACAGCAAATGAACTATATTATTCTAAAAAATGTGACTTATATTCAAATAAACCAAATATTTTACAATTACTTCATATGAGAAACAAATAGCAAATATAAAAATGACTATAAATTATGATAAATCTATAGTTAAAAACACAGAAAAAATAAGTAACAAATTATGATTAGACGTGAAGCTCGTGATAGACGGGATTTATGCGCCCTTTCGGCGATCGCGGGAAATGACGGACACAATAGGGACAGGCGTTACGCACTTTGAGCGCACCCTTCAGACACTCCCTGCAAAAGACGTGTCCGCATAGAGTGGACACTAATTTCACGTTTCGTGTCAATAGTGAGGACCTCTTGTCGAGACAAATGGCACAAAACAACTCATTATCTTCTAATTGATCGCATTTTCGTTTCAAACCATTGCATTCAGAACTCAATTCTTTCACTTTATTCTCCAAATAATTCTTCGACAACAATAAGACCTGACTTTTAGTGCTTTCGCACAAAAGTGTCATTAATTTGTCATTCTTTTGACGTAACGACAGATTCGTGAACTGCTTTTCGATGCCATTCAAGAAATTCCAGAATATTTGCGGAAATTGTGATTCAAATCTTATGATTAAATAGTTTTCTCTGAGATCTGCGACACAAGAAAATGTGGTTTAGTATTGATTAAACTGTTATTTCAATTAAGATATAATTACCATTAGAGTTGATATCGAAGACCCGTTTAGAGTCAATGTTTCCAATCTTGAGGAACTGATGGACATTTGCGCATAACTTATCGCTTAAGCGAATGATTAAAGAAATGGTAGAGATTTGGAAATTATATATAATTTCATCGATAAAATTATATTGAATATAGAAATGCTGTTCCAGTTTCGACCGATTCTTCTCTTTCCTAATGTCCAAAAACTTGATCATTCCTCGGGTGAACAGCAATTCAGAGACCGACACTTCAAACGTGCCAAACATGATGTCCGTCGGTTGGCAACACATCTCATCCAATGGTTCAGTTATCTTATGATTTGGACACAAAATGGCTATATTTTTGGCAATCGACTCATCGCTCGCAGACTCTTTCATTTGGGACTCAGATTCGGTGATCGGCAGCGAGGCATCTTCTATGGCTTGTGTCATAACTAATGTGTCTTTAATTCGGTTCATAATCTGTTTCAATGCATTCTTCACTTCTTCGCCACTGATTTCGTAGCAATTCATGTGCGAGTACTCGGAGGACAAGAGTTGGATATAATCGACCACTTCTTGAGTCAATTGTTCGGACATAACGGCGGTTATGAAGTGATCGCTAATATCTTGGGAATCAAAACAACAAAAATCAATTGATTGAACAGAGAGTTCGGGAAGTGTTGACAATACCAGAAGAGTTGACATTAAACTTGAATGAAGTGATGGACTCGCGGTTGAGGGCCAAGTGTCGGGTGATGTGATCGTTGGACTGTTTGTCCGCTTTGAGACAAATGCTAGAAATGGAGAAATGTTTGCAAAACTTCAACTCAACGATGTCTTTGAAAGCGACCGCAACGGTGTAGTCGACACCCTTCTCGTCCGCACAGGAGATGGCAATGTCTTGGGATGTGATCTTCAGATGATTGGCGCGACTCTGAAACGAGCCAAACATCACGTAATTGCAGTTCAGATCAATTGATAACATATTTGTCCTCTTCTTCGGGTTGTCTGTGGTTTGCATTCAATAGTAATGTTGTCTTCAATACAACGCTGTAATCACTGTTCAATACATTTGCGTTGAAATGATTTGTAAACAAAACACAACTCAAGTAATACTCAATCTCTTTATCACACACTCTATCGACACAATAGTTGTAGTGTTTGTTAGCGTTTGTAATGCAGTCACGGCTTCAATGCCAGCCCTCTCTAGAGCTCTCTCTCTCTCTCTAAACGTCATCTTTTAATCGCTTTACTATTTCTTATCCAATGATTCAATCAATTGTTGTTTTAATTCATTTTTATTTATTAATTATCAATTAGTTTTAATACAGTTTAACATATGTTTTGCTGTAATTATTTACAATACTTTTTCGTCATTTTTATTTGATTTAAAAAACTAAAAGTTTGACAAAAAAGCTAATGTATTGACAAGTATTGAATTTGAGATGTTTTTTCGAGATATGAAATAATTTACATAAAAGTGGAAAAAAGTTTTATTATTATCGCAAATGAATGATAAAAATGTGGACACACTTTAAATATAGAGTTATATCCAATGGTTATTACAAATTATTTATGTTTACGTTTCAAGCCGTTTGACGATTGGCCAGAATTTCGCGCGGAAACGGTGGCCGATATCCTCTCCAAGCGTTTGTTGGCGTTTGCGATGAAGTCGTCGATGTCGTC